CGGGCCCAGCCGCTCCGCGGCATGTGGGATCCCCCCGGACCGGGTCACGAACCCGTGTCCCCTGCATCGGCAGGCGGACTCTCAATCACTGCGCCACTAGGGAAGCCCCTATTTTAGTACACTTTTATACGCAAGTGTGAGATGCCAATTCAAAATGGTTTAAGGTAAAAGCAGATGTGTTGGTTCAGGAGCTTAAGCTATGACATCAGAACTTAGTCTTTCTTTCTCTATCTCTTGGTTCTACCCTTCTCTATGTTGGCTTTCTTTTCAGCCATGAGTCTCCCTTGCCTGGGCAGCACCATACTTCTCTCCTATAACCCCAGCAACTCTAGTGAAAAAGGAGCATCCAGTCTTCTGACATTTCCAACAAAAGTCCTGGACTCATTGACTCTAAATGACTTGACTTTGGTCTAATCCCCACTCCTCAACCCTGGAGAAGACTTGGTTGAAGGAAAGGTGGTTCTTTAAGGAAAACTTTCGTGCTGTTCCTACAAAGAGGGACAACAAATGCCAGGGAGGCAAAAACAACAGATGTCCTATACCACCTTCAATTATGTCATGGGTTCTCTTATGAATACGGGGATTAACCTCTATGAGGTCCCAGAAATGAGAAATAGCCCACTTGTATGAACCTTATAGGAAAGCAGATTTCCACTCACTCCCCAAAATGACCTTCTTATAGTTAAAACCATTAGCATTTGAAATGGACTACATCAAGATGTGCCAATTACCCAGTCCTCCAATGTGTCCAGAATCAGGCCAAATGGGCAGCTGTCAGTGGTATTGTGCAAGGAATTCCTGCATCAAGCAGAGCTTTGCCTGCATGACCTGAAAGGTCTCTTTTGCCTCTACAATTCTATTATCCTTGTTAATTTCCACAATTCAATTTGCAGTACAGGATAAACAAACCAACCTAATTTGATCTGGAACTTCTACAGGCTATCATAGGTCATTTAATCTAAAACACATGGCTGTAGCCATTACTACGTTTTCTGAAGTCATCTAACAGACGTGGTCCTTAACAAGGTTTCCATGTTATTAGTTTCACTTATGTTTGTTTTTTCCCAGCCTCCTGCTTATTACACAATTGCTTTCATTCTCCTTTGGATTAGGGTAGAAAGGAGCATGAAAGAGTTTTCTTCTTTCTGCCTTTCTCCTCTTAAATCTTATAATAGGTGAGTTCCAATTAAAATTACATTGCTTGGGGCTTCCCTGGTGACGTAGTAGTTAAGAATCCGTCTGCTAATGCAGGGGACACGGGTTCCAGCCCTGGTGCGGGAAGATCCCACATGCTGCGGAGCAACTAAGCCCGTGTGCCACAACTGCTGAGCCTGTGCTCTAGAGCCCGCGAGCCACAACTACTGAGCCCATGTGCCACAGCTACTGAAGCCTACGCACGTAGAGCCTGCTCTCTGCAGCAAGAGTAGTCACCGTAATGAGAAGCCCCTGCACGCTGCAACTAGAGAAAGCCCATGTGCAGCAAGAAGACCCAATGCAGCCAAAAATAAAACAAATAAATAAATTTAAAAAAAAATTACACTGCTCATATTTTTACCTTTGAATTTAGCTTTCACTTTGCAGGTCCAAGAATCTATGAGAAACAGGAGTGGGAGTCATGGATAACCATAGATCTGGACAAAGTTTATTAAGGAAAATTTTCAAAGAAGGAAGAGTGAGATTTTTAAATTTGTTATCAAAAACTAATTTGTAAATTTAATATACTGCAATGCTGTTAGAATTAGGGTGCCAAACCACTTGAGACATACTCATGAAAAAATAAACACATTTGTATTAAATAGTATTTGTTTCTTCCACAACTGAAAGCACCCCACACCCCCACCCCACACAAACATATACATACTCCCTTCTGCTTAAACTGGAAGTGCCTTGTTACACAATCCTACCCGAAAATAAAATGTTGTTTTTGCTAGGGTATGTCCATCCTTAATAACTGATTATATTTCTTGTCTTTTTCAGTGAATGTTGTGTCAATGTTACAGGAATTTTGGGAAAGCAAGCAGCAACAGAGGGCCGCGTTCCCAAGTGAAGGTGTGGTGGTCTACGAGTCGCTGCCGTCTCCTGGACCACCCTTTGTGAGTTATGTGACCCTCCCAGGGGGAAGCTGTTTTGGCAACTTTCAGGTAAGAAGCAACCATAAATTGATCAGTGAAAGCTGATTGAGTTAAAACAGAGTAAGCCCTTTTATAAAATGGTACATTGTAAGTTTTCTTGGGTCTAATGAAAACAGTTGTGCCACATTCCATTATGTAAGAGAAAAATTGGTCAGATATTCCCATTTTTTTAAATGGGAAGTATTTTTTATTAGGGTGTTGTCCACTGATATTTCTTTATGGAAAATGAATTTTATAGTATTTTATTTGCCTGATTGCTGCTGTCTTTTCCCTCAAATATTTTGGAATAAATCTTAAAGAACAAAGGAACTTGGGCAAAGTCCTTCCATCAGGGTCCTTCCATCAGTAGAAAGTCTTCACGTTTATGAAATTTGTAATCAAATACTAATCAATCTACTACACACGAAAGCATGAACCTATAGCAAAGGTTGAGGGTCACAGGGCTGGGTTCAGGCACCTATACTAATCCCAAGTTCTGCCTCTGAATAATTGTAGACCTTTGGGAAATTTATTTAACTTACTGATTTCCCTGATTTTGAGATGCGGAATAATACCCACAGGGTAGGTTGAGAGTCATATGAAATATACATGCAATGTGTTTATCTGATATATAGCAGTTATTCCAAGTATTGTTTTGATAATTAGTATAAAGACTCTTCCAGTTGGTTAATTCTTTGTTATGTTTATGATGGGTGTAAAGATGATACATTCCTAGTTTTACACCTGTTCACACAAAAACATTTGTCTGCATTAACACTCAGTATCTGTGTGCGTTACAAATACTTATTGAGTGTCTAGGAAATATCAAGCACTGGATCAAGTAATGAGGATATGGTCCATACCTTAAGGAAAGAAACGTACAAAAATTATAGTAGTTACATAGTAATATTAGAGGGTCAAGGAAAGCACAAAAGTTGGAGCTTCTCAATTTACCAGTCACCTTTATAAGTACCCCTTTAGTGCAGTAAACTCTCTCTTAATTTTCAATAACTGGCAAAAATCCCTCATTTATAGTTTATGGACAATGTGAAACTCAGAAGCGCTCAACTTTCCCTCTTAGCTTTGACAACTAGGAAGCCCAGAGGCAAATTTTCAGTGTATCTCTTTGTAGTATGTCTATAAAACTTAGTGTCGTGTAATTTTTAGGACTAACCTCATACTTGATATTATTTATATTTCTAACTTTACTCTCCCTTTGAACTTAGTGTGCCTCACTCATTTATTTCGTCCTGTTACCATGTATCTGTTTTATATTATTTCAAATCCTTTGTGTGCCTCACTCATTTATTTCGTCCTGTTACCATGTATCTGTTTTATATTATTTCAAATCCTTTGTGTGCCTCACTCATTTATTTCGTCCTGTTACCATGTATCTGTTTTATATTATTTCAAATCCTTTGTGTGCCTCACTCATTTATTTCGTCCTGTTACCATGTATCTGTTTTATATTATTTCAAATCCTTTGTGGAGTAAGGGGAAGATATAGTTTAATAAATAGACCCACAAACCTATGTCTGCCTAGGGAAGTCAGAAAAGAATTCATGGGAAGCAATCACACACTGAGATGTACAATTGAGGGTGTCTTTGCCAATCGGTAAAGAAGAGATAGCATTCTCAGCATAGGGAACAGTGTGTACAGAGGCATGGAACAAGAGAAAACCACAAGAACTTTCAGAATTTGGGGAGCCTAAGTGTGTCTGTGACAGGGAAACAGTAGGAGATGACGGTAGGCACTCATATCAAACTATAAGGGGTGTTCATGCTTTGCAAAGAAGAACAGTTTTATTCTATACAAAATCAAAATCCCTGAAAGATTCTGAGCAGGAGCATGATATATTCAAATGTGTTTCAGAAAGCTTACTCTGACAGTAGCGTGGGGTAATTTTAAAGAACTGCTTTCAAAACTTCTTACACCGCCAGCCAGTGACGTCTTGCCTTCTACCCTGAGCAGTGGTCAACAGTGGATTTTTACCTCTGACTAATGAAAGTGAACTGCCTGATGAGGATGATTTGAAAATGGCTCTAGAAGCCTTAGACCAGAACTTGATGGAACCCTAGACACTTAGACATGGATGGGGAGCAAGGGAGGGGGAGGAAAGACAGCAAATGAGGAAAGGATTCCCTAATCCACATGAGTCTGAAGGTCCATCATCGAGCGTTCAAGGTGAAGCCTACCTACTCATAGAGAGCTCCCATCAGACTTCCCATTCAGGGGAGGCCTCCTAGGAAAACAGAGCTGCTCAGCCACAGAGCAAGGTTTTGCCAGCCACCTAAATGAATCTGTTTTTTGTTTGTTTTTTGTCCATGAATGTCAATGGACTAAAGATCACCAAACATTTGAAGAAATCCAAAAGAAAAAATTTTTAAAAAGGCCAAGGCAAGCAAACAAAAGAACAGAAATAATTTAAGCAGCAGAGTGTGTAAAAGAGTATTACAATAATTATCTTCAGAAAATTGTGGAAAGATAAGTATCCCTAAAACAGCTAAGAAAAAAGAAGCAAGCAGGGAACAGGAAATTTAAAGTGTGATTGCCAAATTAGAACAATAAAAATAAATAAAAAATGAGTAAACAGATGAATAGACATAGATCACAGCCAAATTAACAAAGGATAACAAAGTAAAAAATGAATAGTAAATTTTCTAGAACTTAGAGCAAAAAGACAAAGAGATGGAAAAAGAGGACAGGAGACATGGGGATAAATCCTGGAGGTAAACATTAATCTAATAAGAGTTCTAGAAGTAGACAAAGGAAATAAGGGGAAGAAATAAGTAACAGAAGCAATTTTCTTTGAGTTAAAGGAAAGCACAAACTTTCATATTGAAATGGCCCACCGTATTCCAAGCAGGATCATGACAAAAAGTCACACAGCTCTGTGGCTGTATGAGACTTAGGGACAGCATTCTGTTTAAAAGATGGATCAAGGGACTTCTGTGCATTGATCTCACTGTTTTTTTGGTTTTTGTTTTGTTTTGTTTTAAGGTAGATTTGATTTATATGTAGGATAGCTATGGGGGAGCTGATATGAAATTGGGCAAAAACTGGCAAACCTGGTCAAAAAAAATTAAAAACTATATATTTGAAAAGATAAACAAGAAAGACATTTGTGAGTAAGAAAAAAAAGTAAAAGACATACACTACACTCAGCATGAGAAAGGGATGTAATCATAGGAGTGTGATATAAAAATACTACATGAACTATTAAAAAAGCATAAAAACTTAGATAATATTGACTTTTTTCTGGGAACTCTGTTATCTTTGCAATTCTTCTATAAATCTAAAATTATTTCAAAATAAAAAGTAAAAAAGAAAAAAAAATGGCTCCAATGGCTCCCTACTAATTTACCTTCTTATTAAAGTTTGAATTCCTTATTCTGGCAATAAAGACTTTACAACTAGCCCCAACTTTCCCAGCTTTATCTCCTGAATTCCTTTCTGAGACTCAGTGCTTCAGCCTGACTGTCCCTCATCCAGGCCTTGACCTCTTCCAGCCACTCCACGCTCATACTACGACTTACTCATGAAGTGCTGTTGCCACCTTCTCTTCATGTCTAAACCCTGACTATCTTCCAGGACTTCACTTAGATATCACATTTTCCATGAATTTTCCCTGAAGCTCCCCACTAAAAATCTTTACCTCTTCTGATTTTCCAGTGCAGTTAGTTATCTCTGCTTCTCTTCTAGTATTTAATGTTTTTTACCTTATGCTACAGCTACTTATGTGCATGTTCTGTCCCTATAATAAAATGTAAGTGCCTCAGGGACAGAGTCTGTATCCTTATCTCCCTAAGATGCCAAGTACTGGGCTTTGCATATAGTAAGTGCCTAATAAATGTTGTTGAATGAATAGCTAAATGATGAATAACAAATCTGAAGAATCAATGAAGTTTATATATGTCCTTTTTAAAAAAAATATAATCACTATTGACAGATATACAAAACAATATATACTATTACATACAACATAATATATCAACTAAGGTATTTCACCTCACTCTGCAAGATGGTGGGCTAGGAAGGAAAAATCAGTAACATTAAAATCAGCTGGGGCTTCCCCGGTGGCGCAGTGGTTGGGAGTCTGCCTGCCGATGCAGGGGACGCGGGTTTGTGCCCCGGTCTGGGAGGATCCCACATGCCTTGGAGCGGCTGGGCCCGTGGGACATGGCCGCTGGGCCTGCGCGTCCGGAGCCTGTGCTCTGCAACGGGAGGGGCCACAGCAGTGAGAGGCCCGCAAACCGCAAAAAAAAAAAAAAATCAGCTGATATTATTATGTTCATATCTGTGATTAAAGTTTTGAAAGTGGATTAATTTGAAACTATTGATTTAAAAAAACCTTCTAATTCTCTCTGAATTTCATTTATGCAAAATAACTTTCCCTCCACCCTATACCCATGATCTCGAATAACCACATTTGGCCATACACACCCATGCATTATGTTTATTCATATGTAATAACTACATTCATTATAATGTACTTAGAATATAATGCTTTTGACAGATCAGTAAATAGATCTAGAGGATATGAGTCTAAGAAATTCTAATGTTCTTGTTTTTGTTTTTGCTTCCTTGAGAATTATGAATTTCCCTATTGTCTCATAAATTTCTACTCCAATTGATAAGACTTCCCGTATGTAGTAAATTTACCATCCTCCTTATAGTCTCTAAAAAATAGAAAAGAAAATTTAAAAAGCTGAACTCTTCAGCAGGTAAGCCTCTTGGTGATTTCTCTGATCATTTCAGGGTTTCCTTTTCCTTATGTTTAAATCATCATATTTTAAGGTTCTCAGGAGGATTGTTAACATCCTTGCTTTAAAAGATCCAGAATTTCCTGAATCAAATATGTTTTGAAAATGTGTTTGGGTGATTGGCTGCCAAATCTTAACCTATTTGGCTCCCCAAAATGTGATTTGAGAAAGGAAAATCAGGAAGGAAAAAAAAAAGAAAGAAAATTTCTCCTAAAGCAATGTCCTTACACTTTTCATGGTCAGTTCAGAAACTGTCTTCAGTGGTT